ATGCGTGTAGCTGTGGACTGAGTACAGGCCTGGAGCTGTTCTCGGATGCTGTCTGTGGAGATTGAGCTACCTGGTGGAGAGGAGGCTGATGCTAATGTGGGGACCATATAAACTCCCCTCCAACCCTGAATTTGTTTGAGGTTAAGAACTGCTGGGCTGATTTAGACCTAATCATGCATAATAAAAAAATGTATTCATGCTTCCTTTATTAAGCGCTTACTGAATACCAGGCACCATAGTAGATAGCTTATGCACATTTACTAAAGCTAATTTGGAAAACAGTCCTGCAAGGAGAAGAAGTATTAGTATTACTATTAGTGGGTAAGTTGAGGCTTGACCATATAGCCTGGTCCTGCTCCAAATCCCACACGATTTTATGGAAGGCACATGCTGCCTTCAGACCTACACCACTTGATCTCCAATGCATCTCCACTTTTTATTCCATGAAACTCAAGTGCAATGAAATTACAAGAATCATAAAGTACCAGTGTGAGCATTTTCCAGGCGAGAGTCTGCCATGTACTGCTTCTGTGAGCCAGCAACCAAGAGGAATAAAAGGCAGTGGCAGGCTCCACTCAAATAAAAGTCATTTCTAGAAGATAAGATGGGAGAGCACTTGCTGAGCAGTGGGAATGAAGACCCAATTCATGAGGCAGAGAAGAGAGGCTCTGGGGAGAGAGTGAGAAAGAAGACCCAAAAAGAACCGGGCCCTGGGGCAGTCGGTGCCTAGAAAGGGTCCGAGTGCCTGAACTGATTTAGAAGCCAGTAGACTCTGGAAGAAAAGCAGGCTTTGCTGAATTTAAGGATCATGTCAAAGAGGTAAAATTCCCCCTGCCCATCTCGAGCAAAAGAAAAACCAGCTAAAGCACTTGGGTGGAGGCTGGGCGCAGAAAAGGAGCGTACCCGCTTGATGGGAAAGCTGCTCTCTGGGGAGATGCTCTGGAAGAGGCCAGCCAGTGCTGGACCTTGTCCTTGTCTGGGAAGGCACCGAATCAAGAGGAATGAGGTCTGGACTGTGACAGAAATGGATTCTAGGGCTTGGCTTTAGCTCTGTGGAGTGAGTGGAGGTGGAGGGGAAGGGAGAGGTGACTAGGAGGGCAAGGGAGTCACGAGACAGTGAAAATGTCCATCTTGTGATGCTGGGATTTTCCCGGGGAGCTTCAGCTATAGCCCTCCCCCTGCCTCCCCCCTCCCCGTGCGTGCATGCGTGCGTGTGTGTGTTCCTCGGGGCTCTGCCATCCTCACTTTGACCATTCCCTGGTCAGTCATTCAATGCAATCATCACGAGAACCTAACAAATGTTCAGCCCTGAGCTGGGACTACTAACACATAGACCCTGACACCATGTTGGTTTGTCTTCAGAGACGTGGCTGCAAAACATCGCTCAAATCACCACCATGCTTTGGATCCTGAATGTCCCCAGTGGCCATACATTTAAGGATTAGTCCCCATTCTGTGGCACTATCAGTAAGTGGTTGACTTTTTACTAGATGAGACCAAGTACAGATAAGTTACTTTTACTCAGGGCATTTCTTAGACGGGAATAATGGGATACTGCCTCTTTTTGTCTCTCTCTTTCACTTCCTGGCAGCCACGGCATAGCCGATCCTGCTCCAACCACAGTGTGCTGCCTTGGCACAGATCCAAATGCAGTGAGGCCAAATGGCCATGGACTGAGCTTCCTAAACTGTGAGCCAAACTTAAGCTCCACTCTTTCTTGATTACCTCCCAGGTATTTTATCACAGGCACAAACATCTGCCTTTACAGGGCTCTCATGTCTTTCTGAATATTTGTTACTTTCTCCAATTGGCATTTTAACCAAATCATAATTAGCAATAACATGAACCAAGCACATATCATTGGCCAAGTTACATGCTAAGCTCCTTTTAACATTATCTTAAACAATCCCCACAAAGAAGTAGGTAGGTTCTACCATGATCTCCATTTATTTTGGCTTAAAGGGTGATGGAACTTCTCTAGAGTTATATTTAGTAAGTAGCCAGGGTTCGAATCCGGGTCTGTCTGTGTCAGGGACTCCTCCCAGCATGGGACTCTCCTCTGTCTTTCTACATGAGTCCACATACATGCCTGGTATCAGCTATGACCATTAGGCCTATGACTAAGGAGGATGAGATCAATGAATCTATTCAAAGTCCTTTTCAATGGTGTATGTATGTGTGTGCAGGTGATCACATGTGTGTGCTAGCCACACACGTGTGTGAGTGCATATAGAAGTCAGAGATCAATGTTGGCTTTATCCCTTGATCACTTTTAAACTGTATTTTTTGAGACAAGATTTCTCACTGAACCTGGAGCTGTACTGGCTGTCTAGAGAGCCCCTGGGGTCCACCTGTCTTCACGCCTCTCTCTACCCATTGCTGGGCTTTAGATACACAATGCAGCACCCGGCCTTTACAGAGGTGCTGGGGATTGGCTTTCATGCTTGCACAGCATTTGCCCACTGAGCCATCACTCTAAACCCCTTCCTAGTGGTTTTGTCTTCGTTGTTTTCAGACCCGACTGAAGTGTACTCAGAAAGCTCAGCCAAAGCCATCCCTGCCTCCTCCCAGGCTGTGGAAGTTCATTGGGGATTAACAGTGCAAGGCACGGGTTATAGACCCATCGTAAATTAGCTTTTCAGCCACATAATGAACAGTACGAGGAGGCGTGGCCTTAAAAGGACCATTTATTATATTGCAATAAACAGAGCTATATAAAGAGAGTTATTCCTGAGACGGCACATCTGTGCTCACAATCATGTCTTTACGTGAGCTTTGTAAACAGGGATGAAAGTCCAATTTAGACTGTGCATTGAACAGCAGTTCTCCATTCAGCAGGAAAGGTAATTCTAGCTATTCTAGAGGTATAGATGCTGCGTGGGTCTTGTTTTTGCCAAAGATCATAGCCATCTCTCTTGGTCACGATCGGAGCTGTTAATCCAAACCATAATGAGCTGACTGGAGTTTCACTTTAACAGTGTGGAGTGCTAGGGCAGTGATTGGAGGTGTGTGTGTGTGAGTATGTGTGCACGTGTGTGTGTGTGCACACGTGTGTTTGTGTGTGTGTGAGTAGATGTGTGCACATGTGTGTGCTCCCTTCCCTGCTCCCCAGAATGCACACACTTATCTTTCCTATCTCTCATCCTGTCTGATTAATAAAAAGGACCTATCATACAGTAGGTGTGTTAAAATGTGGCGTAGATTGGAAAGCGGAGGCTTGGTATGGATGGAATGAGCTGTAAGATGTAGAAACAACCGACTGATGTCAGTGCTGTGTGAGGCTGTTCACCCGTGTTCTCATTTGGTCCTCATACTGGGAGGGTCTAATAAAAGAGTGTTTACAAAGAGCTTGCCAACAGAATTACCCTTTGTATGACCAGATGCCCCAGCCATGTGCTTGTCAACCCACTCGTGCATCCATCCGCGCATCCATCCACCCATGCATCCATCCACGGATCCATCCATCCACTCATGCATCCATCCACACATCCATCCACCCATGCATCCATCCACACATCCATCCACCCATGCATCCATCCATTCATGCATCCATCCACCCATGCATCCATCCATGGATCCATCCATTCATGCATCCATCCACACATCCATCCACCCACGCATCCATCCACCCATGCATCTTTACTGAGCAGGTGTAGCAAGTAGGTCAGACCTTCGTTGAGTCCTGGGGCTATAGCCACTAATGGACACATTTGGCTACCGTTCATCCATGGTGATTACTATCCAGTGTCGCTCTAAGCCAGAAAGGAATTGCAGGCGTATTTCAGAGGACCCTAAAACCCACACCGAGTTAATCTTTCATTTGAAGGAAAGGATGAAACAAAAAGGACAGTATGGTGGAGCAGGTGCTCCCCCCAAGCCCTATTTCCTGAGCTCTCTTAGGATCCCTTGTGGCCTTGGCCCCAGACAAGTCTCAGTAAAAGGCATCTCGAATCACAGGAGCCACCGTCGGCACTGGCAAATGGCACTTGCTGTGCTTTGAGATGGAAACGTTTCTCACGGGCTCGTCTGCTGAACACTTTGTCCTCAGCTGATGGTGCTACTTGGGGAAGCTCTAGAAACTTGGTGAGGCGGAATGCGGCTGGAGGTGGCAGGTCACTACCATGGTGCTGACGGGAGGCATCTGCATTCTAGGTCCCTAGCTGGTGGTGCTGCTTGGGATACTTGGGCACCTCTAAGAGTTAGAGCCTCTGGTGGAAGAAATGTAGCCCACCCCCACTTCCTGCTCAGGCTTCCTGACCGTGGTAAGACTGTGACCCTCCAGCCGAGCGCCTGTTGCCACGTCTGTCTTCCACACCAGAATCGAACGGCTTCTCTGGGATTATCGTCCAGAATAAACCCTTCCTCCATTAAATACCTTGCCAGGTATTTTAGCACAGCAGCTAGACAAGCAACCAATGCTGTTGCTGTGGGCGTGCCCCGTGGGTCTCATGTCCCGTCTCCCTCCTGTCTCTTGTTCTGTTTCCCAGCCATCATGTGGTGAAGAACCTCTTCCATTACATACTCCTACCGTAATGATGGCATGCCCTGTGGGTCTCATGTCCCATCTCCCTCCTGTCTCTTGCTCTGTTTCTCAGCCATCATGTGGTAAAGAACCTCTTCCATCACATACTTCTACCGTAATGATGGCGTGCCCCCAGCAACCCTGGACCTAACCTTCTGAAACTGTGATGTGAGACAGCTCTCCCCTCCTCTAAGTAAGTCATCCTCTCGTGATTCTGTTCCGAGCTAAACAAAAGCACCCAGCACAGCACCGTTCAGCATCCCAGGGCCGAACAAGATGAGCATGTGCTCTTTGAATTCTTTGCTCATTGAAAGGAGAGGTTTCAGACTAGAGGGCAGGGAAGAAGAAAAAAACTCCACAACCCGGGGAGTTCAGATTTAGGTGCCTGAGAACAGGGCCACACCACGGACTGGGGCTGAGTGGTCCCATGTAACAGCTGAACCCCCAAACCATGCCAATCCCTTTCCCCAATATTCACCAATGGAGCAGTCGTGTCCAGTCCAGCTTGGGTCGCAGTTGCAAAGCCCGGTGTCTGAGAGGAAGGTTCCGTGGCCTGAGCACTGGTCCAAGCACGTGGCCCTGGGTGTCTCGCAGTTGGTGCCTCCCCATCCCACAGAGCAGTGGCATTCGCCTCTCACGCAGACACCCCGGCTGGAACATGTGGGGTCCATGCAGTCCACTGTGACATGGAAGGAAGATGGTACAGTAAACACAGACACCGCAGGGTGATCCTGGGAAGGGGCATGCTGCTAAAGGCATCTGTCCACTGGGGGAGATTACAGGTATAGTAAGGAGCAGGCCTCCCGTGAATGGCGGACCTCACCTGTAACATGTGCCTACAAGTCTCTGTTTTCTGGCTTGTGAGGTGAGCCAAGTATAGACATCAGCATGGCATCCAGAGCCCACCATGCTTGCCGTAAGACAAGGAGGCCCCAATGGGGAAATTGAGGCTCAGAGGGATAAATAATTTATGCCAGGTAACACACATAAATTCTACCAGAAAGGATTTTCCTTGTGTATGTGTGTGTGTGTTTGTACATGTATATGGTACATGCACACGAGTGTGTGGGTGTGTGTGTCCATGACTGTGCATGTGGGAAGATGCTGGGTGTCTTCATATACTGCTTTCTGTCTTATTTAACTAAGATAAGATCCCTCATTGAGCAGAAGCTCTGAGCCTTCTAACTATAAAACAGACAGGGCCAACATTCGGATCTATCAGGTTGCTCTAAGGAACAAGTTATGAGGAGGATCTGAAGACTAGATGAACTGTGACGTCACGGAGGTTATTTTTCCATCCCCTCAGGAGTTTGAGTAGTGAGGCTTGAGCAAACTCTTGGCTCATCTATAATCCAGACATTTAAACACACTAATTTCATTTATAATCCAGAGTGTTTGGCTCATCTATAATCCAGACATTTAAACACACTAATTTCATTTATAATCCAGAGTGTTCGGCTTTCATGCCAATGCCTGGGCAACATGGTCTGGGTATAAAAGAGCCGCAGGCGCAAAGAGGCCGAGACTTTATGACAGAGGGCATGCTGGGGCATCTGTTTTGAGGACCTAGTCTTCTGGAGGAGGCTCTTTGGCCATCTCAGATTTAGAAGGAGTTTTATTGGGCAATCTCAATGGTAGGCAAATGAGAAGGCCAGGGGCTGTTCAAAGCAGTGTAGTGACCGTGGCCAAAACTGTCATTCGTTTAGATGCTCGTCTGTGCTACGTTTGATATTAAGCATTTTATGTGGCTTTGCTTAATCTGTTATTTCTGTTAACTAATTTTTCCAGGGCGGCACAGAAGGAATTTACATTTCAGCCTCTCTCTCCCCTGTCTACATCGCTTGCTATTTTCTATTATATTCAGACTGGTTTAAAAATACATTTGTGCATATATGCCCACATAAACACATGAAGTGCTTTAAAAATAGAAACCAAATCAAAACACGGAAAGAAACAGGACAATGTGGGGCATTAATAAAGTCCAATGCAGGCAAATGGCTCTTCTCTCGCGGTCTCCAGACGCCATTTAGTAACGGCTAAAGCGTGACCTGCTCAAGTTCGGGTAATTAAAAATAACAAAGACAACAACAGTGATAAATTCTCATGACGGGCCTCAGATCCCAGAACCTCAGAAGGATTATTCCAGCCTATTAGGCTACTATGGCAATTCCCTCGGTCCAGAGAGCTTTCCAACTTGACAGGAAACAACTCCATGGTTCCTACCCAGAGACCTATGAAGGTATTTTCCTGTCTTGAGAGTACCTGGCCCTGCTTTGAGTTGACCCTGCCTCTGGGCCCCCAGGGTGTCCTCAGTGTGGATCCTGTAAATATTCAATGTTAGCTTGCAGGCTGGGACGGTTTTAGTGTCACGGATCTGTCCTTCCACAGAGGGAGCAAGGAGCCGCAAAGGGAATCCCACATCTCAGCAGAATAAAGACCAGGAGGAGCTGGTGAGGGGTCACCTCCTGTCCAGACAGTTGGACTTCATGCCTCCAGGTGACCCGGAAGTGGGGGGGGGCTCACAAAGGTCCACATGGCAGGGAAAAGGTAGCTCTTGGCACCCCGGTTAGACTTGATGAACTCATTGAATGTCCTTGGCCTTGAGTCCTGATTCTCAACCTAGGTCTGTAATCTCTGCTACAGTGATTCTCTGCCAAAGAGGCTTGGAGTGACCTGGATCTGCCCCCTCCCCGGGCCTTGGGGTGACAGCAGTTCCAAGAAAAGATAAAGCTGTCTTCTTCCCTCACTCTGGGACAGTCTCATGACCATGGGTTATCTCCTGGGAGGGAGGGAGTTGTGTGTAATGCAGGAAGGACCAGCAGGCCTGGGAGGGAGGAGGTATCTGCGAGGTAGGCTAACTAGAAGGCATGCAGCTCGTCCCCTTTCCCCCTTTCACAGCGCCAGGATTCTTGGCAGGAGCTTGGCCCCTTAATGAATAACGATGCCCACATGGCCAGGCTGCAAGCGCAGGCCTCCCCCCCCCCCCAACACCAATGTTCCATGCTTCAGTGACCATACGAGCCATTAGATGCCCTTCAGGACCGAGCATGTGGAGTCTCACTTTTCACTGCAGAAGATCTATGTCTGCACTCTCCTGCCCCTCCCCTAGTCCCTGCTTCAAGCATCCCACCCCTGGCTCCTTCCAAGCTTTAAAAAATACGGGAGCTATAAACTTCAGAAGAAGGAAGGGGGGGCAAAAGAGTAAGCTTGTTAGCTGATGTTTTATAAACAGGGGGGACCTGTTAGCAACAGAGCCCAAGGAGGAGGGCGAGGAGGAGGGAGGGGGAGCTAGACCCTCCGAAAACATTATTATAAACACGAGGCTGCGCAAGCATGTTTTAGCAGAGAAAAAAAAAAAATAAAAAGGAACCAGTCCCAGATGGCCCTCTTCAGAAAGGAGACCGGGAGGAAAAACGCTTCGTTTCGAACAGACAACGTAAATCAAAGCTCTGTACATTATTTTTTTACTCTTGAAAAATATCCCACAGCTCTGGGGAGGGGGCTGCTGCTTAGCGTCCTTCTGTCTGGGGGGGGGGGATGCGCCATAGGCAGGGTTCAGGTAGGATGAAAGTGGGCGGACCATTCTAATAGGAATCTCTCCTCACTTCCCTCTCCTGTGCAGGGTCTCCACCTCACGTGATCTGAAGAACAGGACAGCAGGGGGAGATCTTCACACTCCAGGTAAGGAAAGCCAGGCCAGTGTGTTCCGGGCTTCACTCCTCTCTCAACAGCCCCCTCTGTCCCCAAAGCTAAGGGGTCTGCATGGGGCCTCACTACTCCCTGGAGGGCTATGTGTAACTGAGACAGGAAATGCCTTCCAGACATCCATCCCGCCTGGCTTCCTCCTTTAGGCCTGTTAACATTCTCTCCTTTAAGAGGGAATGGTGTGGCGAACAAAGGCTCTCCATCAAATCCTAAATGGGTTTGTTTAGAAGGCCTGCCTTCCTAGGAACCTCTCCCTCCCACTGGGGAAGGAGCCAGGGTGCTGGGGGGGGGGGCAGGGGGTGGTGGCAAGCGTGTGCATTGACCATCAGCTGCAAAAGGCAAAGTCCATCCATTTTCAGAGCCCAGAGGAAGTGAAGAGGTGAGACGTGGTCATTCCCAGAATAATGCTACGGACATAACAGCCACATTTATGGAGCCTTTAATAGGTGTCAGCCACTGGGCTAAGTGCTGGATATGGGCTATTTAACTCAGTCCTCGCGGTGGCCTCCTGAGGAAGGGAGCCTCACTTTATTGGGAGGGGAGACTGAGCCAGGACTCAGAGGTATATTGGATTTCAAAGCATGGAGTTTTGAAAACTGTCCCATATTGGATGCTGGCCTCTCCCTTAGCGGCCGGCCCCGTACTGGATGCTAGCCTCTCCCTTAGCGGCCAGCCCCCATGTGATGCTCACCTTCCTCGCAGCTCTCTCCCTTGTAGCCGGGGTTGCAGATGCAGGTGCCCATGATGCAGGTGCCGTGGCTGCTGCAGGCCACGTCGATGCATTGGTTGGTGGGCACGTCGCACTCAGCTCCCTTCCAGCCGCTGTGGCACAGGCACCTGCCCTTCATGTACTGGCCATTCCCGCTGCACAGCACGGGACAGGAGGCTGCGGAGACATCACCAGAAGCCGGGGTGAACCATGACCCAGTGCCCTGCTGCTGCTCTGTGTTCTCTCTTCCCCTCAGCTTGGTGGATGACCTCCGTGGCTTGGTAGGGCATACCCGTGTGTACCCGTCACCCAGGTCCCTCGTGTTACTTCGTTCCAGCTGGGACACCTCTGGAGTTGGAACCCAAGGTGTGTGAGGCAAGACCAGCTGCTGTAAATGGTGTTACCGGTTTTTCCAGCCACTTCAGATTCAGCTGGGGCACCCTGGCTGCCAGGAGCTTTAGGCCGGAGGCTGGCATCTGTTCCTTATTACCACCAGAAAAGACTGGGGCTCCTGGGTGCCCTGCCACCGCCACACCACTGACCAAAAGCGGTCTTTAGCCCTGGCAAGTCTCTGCTTCCCTTGTCTTTTCGGCCCCTGCTCCAGCCCCTTATATCACAGCCTCTCGGAGAAGCGCTGAGCCCAATTTAGCTCTTTAAAGTGTGTTCCCACATGCCTCTTAGCATAAAGGCTTTGTGATCATCTCTAGGAAGGATGCTATACAAGGATAGATTATACTGCATTGTGGAGCAAGTGCTCACCCAGCCTGAGATAAAATCCGGCTGTGTTCTATGCGACTCTTAACTAGAAGTGCTTGGGAAGAGACAGCAGTTCTCCTTAGGGGGAATGACTCAGCTCTCTGCACCTGCTTCGCTGGGCCCTACCTGGCTTCCTTCACTTCCGGAGTACCCAGCAGGCAATCAGCCTGCTTCCCATGGCTGCCAGCTTGACTGTCTCTATGCAAGTCTATCTTGTATTAGCGGAAGTGAGCAGGGTCCCCGGAGCTGCACCCTGGGCAGGATTTGGAGGCTGTTATTCCCTTGGCCTGGAAAATCATCACTGCTTTTCATTCTTGAGTTCCACAAGCCTTGGCCTCGGGTCCACCCCGTCTCTTCTCTACACCTTTCTGAGCAGATCTTCCTCTTGCCTAGCTGGCCTGACCCCTGTGCTGTCCATAGCTGGACACCAAAGGCTGACAGGGTGTGGTTCTACCTGCCAGCTCCCTTCCCCAGGCTACTGAGGAGTGGCTCTGGGCAGTCCTTCCTGGGTACCTCAGGAGTCTGTAGAGCACACCGCAGGGATCCCTAAGATGAGGGAAGCAGTTACCACTAGGCCACCTGAGCACTCACCTCGGCCACAGTCAGGGCCCAGAAAACCCAGGAAGCAGTGGCAGGTCCCGGAGATACAGTCGCCATTACCATAGCAGTTGCTGGGGCAGTTATCCACTGATTCTACAAGAGAAGAGAGGGAGAGCTGAAAGTGGGGTTGGCTCCGTGCTACAGAGCCCAGCGTCCAGACTCTTGTGAATCCAGACCCACTCGAACACACACACACATGTGAGTGTGTGTGCATGCACGCGCGCCACACTCACACACACTCACACACACCACACACACACACTCACTAACACACACACTCACTCACTCACACACTCACTCACACACACTCACACACACACACTCACACACACATGCACACTCACACACACACTCTCACACACACTCACTCACACACACACTCACTCACACACACACTTTTTTGAGACAGGGACTAATGAACTTGCTCTGTAGTGAAGGATAACCTTGAACTTTGGATCCTCCTATCTCTGCCTTGGGATTATAGATGTGCACAACCATACCCCGTTCCATGCAGTGTAGAGGTCAAAACCCAAGGCTCTGCGCAGGGTGCCCCCCACTCTACCCACTGACTCACACCCCAGCCTCTGTGCGTGGTTTTATAAATACTTTATGTATATTTTTAAGTATGTTAGCACTTCAGCTAAACATTGCTGGTAGGAAGCAGAGCGACTTGTGAGCAGTGATGATCTTTCGTTCTGTTCTACGCATGCACCAGTGTGTCTTCTCTCACCTTTTCTTTCCCTATATCCATCTATCCTCCCACTCCCCACCCCTGTCTCTAGCTGGGACGGCTACGGCAGCCTGCAGGTAGCCTTTCGGCACTATTCTCCAATGACAGCCTGGGGGAATCTCTGTGATATGAACTTGATGCTGCTATCCTCGGACTGAAACTCCTATGCTGGTCCTCACTGGCTGCAAGAAAAACCAATGCTCTGTTGAAAGCCATAGACCTTTCTGTCCCCCTGCCACTCAGCCCACTTTTGGGTGGACTATCACTGCCTCTGACTTCCCTAAGACCACGGATAGCGATCAGAGAGGCGGGATCTGAACATGTGACTTAGGACTTTGAGCTTGCACGCCTTCCCTGATGCCACACTCGCGGGGCCTTGCAGAAACCCATTCCACAGCAGAAGGCAGGGGTCTGAAGTAAGCCGCAAGGCAGCAGAGGAACCAGGGAAGGGCAGGGAATTCTAGAACTTTCAGAGGTTCCCAGGGACCATCAAGGGCAATGTACCCACTTAACAGAAAAGGAAACAGGCTCAGGGCATGGCATTGACTCACAGACTGAGCTGGCAGATAGGAGTGAAAGCGGAGGAGTGGACTGGAAGGGCTGGCAGCTGTAAGGATTCCGTTTGTCTTAGCCCACAAGGATCCATCAAGAATCCAAGACTGGGGGCCGGAGGGATGGCTCAGCCGTGAAGAGTGCCTACTGATGTTGCAGAGGACCAGTGCTTGGCTCTCACATTCACTAGCTCACAACTCCCTCTAACTGCATCCCCGAAGGGTCTGCTGCCCTCTTCTGTCCTCTGCAGGCATTGCACTTATGTGTGTATACTCCCTTGTACACATAATTAAAAATAAAATATTCGCCCCAGCACTTGGGAGGCAGAGGCAGGCGGATCTCTGTGAGTTCGAGACCAGCCTGGTCTACAAGAGCTAGTTCCAGGACAGGCTCCAAAATCACAGAGAAACCCTGTCTCGAAACCGCGCCCCCCCCCCCAAAAAAATAAAATATTCGTATAAATGAATAAGTTTTTTAAAAAACCGAGACCGCTATGAAAGAGGCATCACCATTTTAGACCTGTGCTGATCTGAGTAACAAGGTAACAAGTGAGCGACCGCCTGGTCTGCAGTGTGGCAAAGAGAAAAACCTCTTCCTGGAGGTAAGGGGACAATGTGTCGGGTCCATTCTTCCAGTACCATGCTGTGTGACCAAAAGCAACTGTCTTCCTCTCTCTGAGCCTCACTCTCCTGACTATACAACGAAGGTGATGGTACAGGTGACACCCTGGGACGGCAGGAATTATAATGAAGGGAGAGATCAGTCGGATGGAGAGGACATCACACCGCGAACGCGGCAGACGCTCAAGGGTACCACGCCAACTGCTAGGGCAGAAGGCTGGAGTAAGAGCCTGGTGGCGCCAAAAAAGGAGCAGGAGGCACTGATAGACTCCCTCAGTGCCAGAGCGCATGCGCTGTTGCCAAAGCCCTGGTTTTGGTTCTGAGTCCCATGACGCACATTCTGCAGGCCTTGCCGGAACTCGTCCTACCGCAGAAGCCGGGGGTGAACCAGGCAGGTTTCTGGGACAGCAAGGCCACCAATGAAGGCAGCAAAGGAACCAGTGGGAGGGGAGAACATTCTAGAACCTTCAGAACTTGAGAATACAGACTCAAGAGCAAGAGCCACTACTCCAACACATGGCCTCACCTCAGGCCTAATGGTCTGTCTAGGTGACGAAACCATGGGAAAAACGGGTCTGAGTATTTCCAGGCAGGCTTCTCCTGAAAGAGTTCATGTTCCTAGGTGTTTAAACCAGTACTGGCCTCCTAAATACACTTCTAAATAAAAACCACACACAAAATATCACTCTGAACGTTTTTTTAAAACCAAAGAGTCCAAGTAAATTTCAAGGCTGGGTGAGTTTCCCTTTGAGCTACTGCTAACCTTACAATGGAAAGGACATGTCCCCCAGCCCAGGTGCAGGAGCCCAGCGCAGGGAGGCCCTGGCCTTGGGTCTTCCCTTACCGACCCCCTCATCACAGTGCTAGTTCTCTCCACACGTCCTGGTTCCCGCCTTCTGTTCCCTCTTCCAGAGCTACTCCTGAGGCCACGACCCCCGAGGAGCCTTCCTGGCAGCTCAAGCAGGCAGAGTTCTCATCACTATAGAAACACCAGATGGTCCACTTTGTTAGCTATGAACCGTTGAGTTTAGAAACTCACTTTATTCATCTGGGCGGTTACCCTGGACTCTAACCCAACACGACTCTCGGTCTACTTCTGATGTGCTTGCTGAGAGAATTCTCTGGGTGGTCTCCCAGATCTAAAGGTGCTACGGTTCTGTCCTTCTCGAGCCAAAGGCATGGGCTGTCCCTCTCGATAACTCACGTTAACCACTAGCTGCTTTTCAGCAGGTCACGCCTGCAGGTGAGCAGCGTACACTTCTAGATCCCAAGTTTATGATACCTGCAAGACAGCCTGTTTATCACCTGCCAGAAACCCTTTGTGGCAGCTGAGTGAGAAAAGCGTAGTTTTCTGGGATGCAGTAGACTGCCAGCTCCGAAATCTGACAGAATGGAAGCCTAGATCCTTAAAACTTTGGCCTGGGCTGTCACTGTTGGGGAAGGCATACATTTGAAGAGACAGGGAATTGTTTTAAGATGGCCCCCCAAAAGGAAAGGGAGCCATTTGCTTTGGATAAAATGTTTCAATGTATAGATATTCTTCCACATAGAGGGATTTCAGCAGCCTGGGGTCTACTTCAGATCCCATGAGTATGGGGCTGGAGAGATAGCTCAGCAGTGAAACAAATGACACTCTTGCTGAGGACCAGGGTTCAGTTCCCAGCACCCACATGGTAGCTTACAACCCTCTGCAACTCCATTCTAGGGGATTTGATGCCCTCTGCTGGCTTCTGTGGGCACTGCAACATATGGTGCCCATACATGGACTTTATGCCCTGGCAATGCTGAAGCATACATGGGCTGCCCGTGTATGGCGGTTCTGTTGTACTTGTCCATTTTGGGTTTCATGGTCTAAGCTAATGAGGACGACTGAGTCTCTTCCTCAAGAGGGCATCAGATTTCATTACAGATGATTGTGCGCCACCATGTGGTTGCTGGGAATACATGCAGGCAAAACATTTACATGCATTTTTTAAAAATGCAGAAAATAGATGATGATCCTGTGGATACTGAATCTCTACTGACCACCTCGATACCTCTGTGCTAACGGCTGGGGTAGAAGTGACCGCTGCAGGTGTGTGAGAAGCATGCACTTTACTACATAAACCTGTTGTCCGTTCCCAGTCCATGTGTGGTGAGTCTCTACCCCTGTGTTCCTTCTGCTCAGCGTATGCTCACACTTCCGGTGCTTTTGTCTAGCAGAAGGTGTACCTTCCGATTGGCCTGAATTGGAATTCGGAATCCAGCTGCCTGTGGTAACCAGTTTTCATAACTGGCTCTCTATGGCATGCTGGGAAACGCAGGCCTTCTCCTCCTCGTGTCGGAAACTCATGGAGAAAGAACTTGGCTATGGGACCAAGGTCTGCTTATTACCCAAGCAGAGGTCCAACCTTCTAATGCCTACTTCTGGCTGCTATGTCAGACGATGACAGCCTATAGACAAAGACTGAACTTGGACCTCACGACCTGGCCTTGACTTTAGCTTGTGACATATGCACTTTATGTTACATCTGTTCTGGCTCCTCTGTTCCTGATGACGACCGAGCTCAGCTTACGATGAGCGACCAAAAAGAAAAGCAAGACAGGCTGGGTGGAGATCTTAGCATTTAATTCCACCTTAAGTCCAGGTTAAGGGGAGAGTCTGAGGGTCTCTTCACCCTGTTCAATGAACCTATAAACACACAATCATACAATCTAACTCAGTCCTCACAACAATTAAAAAATTAGGTATCATGTCCAATCATTTTATGGTCTTAATGGAGACTGAGAGTTGTAGTTACTGGTTCAAGTGCACAGAGCTCAGAAGGTGAATCATGGCCTGGGAAATGCTATATGACCTGGGCCAAAACATGGGCTCTGGAGCCAGGTTGTCTCTTGTGACATCTCTCCATCCTCCGTTGTGGTGCTAGTCACATGACAGTCTCGTAGAGAATGAGCAGGGTCATGTTTGACATGGAGAGAGGCTGGCCCAGGACCTAGCTGGGTTGGTCTTCCATTTGTGAATTCAAAACACTCGGTCTAATGAATCCAAATAAGGAGAAGTGGGTTATTTGGGGGGTAAACACACACATATGCAAAACACACACAGAAACTCCTCCTGGCAAAAACGAGAAAGCAAACAACCCATGTTCCTAGCATGCGGGGGCGGGGTGTTGGGGTGAGTCTCATGTTCCTAGCATGTGGGGACGGGG